CTACGAGAACAGTATTGGTGTCAGGAAAACTCGGGGCTTCCTGGTTAAGACACCGAAATCCGAGCTTGAATAACAAGAATGAGTGCATCAACATAACTGATGACCACTTGCCTTACATCCCTCTGTGTGAACGTTGATAGTGAGACTGATATGTGTCACGTCACGATACTATAATTAGGTCGTGGCTGATCGGGCTGTCTCAATTGCTCTACCGTCAGAAAGTTGAGCAACTGTCCGGTATTGGTGGGATTGACGTGAGTTACTTCTCGGAATTTCTTCTTAGTCGGAAGTTCATCAGTCCAAGTTGCAAGTAGTTAAGAGCTGGTCCACGTCGAGCGTGATAGGTAATACTCTGGAGTTGCGAAACGCTTTCAGGCCTTCGATAACGACGAGTTTATGTTTAAGTTTAAACGTCAGGCGAATAAATATTCCACCATCAAAAACCTGTTTGGCATAGAAGCATTGACTAACCATTGCCTACCTTCTCAAATCAGGTTAATTTACTATTTTTCCCGCAAAGATACGCTTGGAAGGCTGAGCGCCGGTAATGAAAGGATCCCGGATGTAAGACTAACGAAAAAACTGGGATGAAGCGGGTCTGGTAAAATTTTGACAGTTGTCTAAAGCGGAATTTTGACATGCGCTGTCCTTCTGTAGGTGCCAAAAATATGATTTTGAATGTCTTTCTCTTACCGCGTTGATCAAATACTGAGGATCATAGAGGTAAGGTACAGCCGTGACAACCTAGTCTGCGCTGAGCGATCCATAGTAGATGGATCTCTTCACAACACTGAAAACTATGGTGCGATGCTTGCGATAAATCGAGGGCCAGCATCTCCTAGAGTGAAACGATTCAATCAATTTAGGACCGTTGATCAATGATCACTGCCAGCACCCGATAGTTGCTGATAATCTCACTCAGCCGGTATGCCCTTGTTTTTTCTTTGAAACGCCTAGAAAAGGGTGATGGTGCGGTGCAGGTGTTGTCCCTTCACACCACTGAAAATCCAACCGTGTTCACATTGTTAACACCAATTCAAAACGCTTCGAATTTTTTGTTGCAGAGCTTTCTTGCAAATCCTATATATCCTTTGTACAAACTTAATGACGCCTGGTGTGATCCTCCGCATGCAATTGTCGTCCATATTTCAGCAAGCGTATTGTTATTATGTAAGTTCATGATTTGTTTTCATGCTGAACACTTGTTACTCTATACTATTGTTAGCATGGGCTCGCTACTATGTCGTTTTCCTCCCTTAGGCTCCATACCCTCCTTGCTTCGAACCGCATAATCCACAACCACTTTGTCACCAAACTGCTTCTGGTCGGATCTGCCGATATGCAAAACTTTTTTCACCTTTTAAACTTCCTCGAAATGATCGACAGTATCCTAAGCTTTCTGCTCGGTCAAGGCGCCGTTCACGATAATTTCAGGTAATCCAGATTATGATGAAAAATTAAAGAGAAGATCGAAAATAGTGCGATGAAGGCGAAGAAACTGCGTGCATCTGTGTTTCCAAAGTGGAATGGGCTTTGAAAAATCGTTATAAAGGTGGCTGGAAGGCGAGTAACTGACGAGCAAAAATAGCCCACCTTTCCGGCCTTTTGGGGTGGAAAGTTATAAGGGATCGCAGCAGGAAAAAGATAATACGAGAAAAAAAATGGGAGCAAAACACCGCCTCATCAATCGGCGATCAGCTTATTGGGTGAGGGTCCTGACGCAAATACTTGCAACCTGTATCGCCTTGTCACTCGTCCGACTTGACATCGATCGAGCGGCGAGAAGGCCGTGCGAGCCGGGAGCGGGGCTCCCACTATGCCCAACCGTCGAGTTTTTGGGCGCGGGAGCGTCATTCCTAATACCCTTGAGGGCCACTGGGTATTCCCAAGGCAGAACTCAGTAACCATTTTTATCTTGAACTGTGTTTTGAAGTATACGGTCCTTACATGACTGTCTGGCATCGCGAAGTTTTCGTGAAAGGTGATGCTTCGCAAGTTTTCGTTGTCAACAAAACGCAAGACGTATGGACCTGAAACACCTTTACATAAGACGAGTAGTCCTACATAGTTGCATTCGAACAATTTCACTCACGACATCTCCTCTCGTTGTAGATCAGGAGTGATAATGATGAGAGATTAAGTTCACGAAGACCGGAATTCCATACGGTAATGCAACCCAGCACCAGCCGTAGCCTCTAAAATAAAATGTCTACATTTTCCGTTGTGAACCCTGGTAAGGTGCACAATCTCGTAAAGCTGCGGGACTGTGGCGCCACCATGTGTGACTGCGTCATACGAGCCATTCCGAAATTTTATAAAAGTGGCGTCCCGGTTTTTTCGGATTCTTCGGAACCTAAAATCCAGAAACCAACTGGGGTTGATTTTCACATGAAGATAGGCAACACTCTAGAAAAAAACTAGCCTAAAAATGTAAAAAAAAACCCATGTGGACCCTATCGCTACAGGACAGCTACATGACTAACCTTGAGCTTGGTCGCTGTGAGGCTGAGTTAAGACCACTCTAGATAAATCTGCACGCTACGAACTAGCCTGCCTTCTTCCCGATCTCACCGTGATTCCAGATTCACGTATGTCGAAGAAGCGTGAGGGGTACGGGTTGTAGCCATACACTTTTCCTGCCTACTAATTTCTAGGTCCCTATCAGCCTCTAATGCTCTCCTCGCAGGGTCTCTGATTCTGATTTCAGTGCAGTGCAAGGATGACTTCTGCAAGTCTCATTATCACCATGGCTCAGAAAAGCTGTGGAGCGAAATATAAACTTGGTAACTTCCCCGACCACCGCTCAGTTTCAGATGGATTACGGTCAGGATGAGAAGAAAATTGGCCCGCCCATAGCACGTAGAAGCTCATTCTTGGGTGACTGGTCGATCGCCATGGCGAACAAGACCAAGTAGGCCATGTAGCACTTTCGTAACAGTTGGATTCAGGAGGGTCTTCCGGTTTATATGGTAGCTGAATCTGGGCTTATTTGAGAATCGACTCCAATTGGTTTTCGTCTTTCAGGCTTTGAAAGCAAGATGGCGGAAAGTCAGCTCATCAAAGTTCCGTGATCAATCTCATGAAGGCCCAACCAATTGACTCGAAATTTCACGCTAGGACCAAAGAAAACTCGAACATGATCCTTTCTAGATAACATCATCGTTTACAATGTTTTCTTCCTGGGATCGCCACAGATATGACTTTCGAAGTGTAAGGGAAGATTTTCTACCTCGAATTACCACTCGATAACACCTCCATCCAGAAAAGGACGGCGCCACGAGATCTCCTCTCAGATGAAACCAAGATGAGAGGTTACCCAAGTGTTTGGCGCTCCTGGAGCTGTATATAGCTCACATCACTACCAATATTGCTGTTCATTGGATAATGGTCTACTACAGCACTGATTGAACTTTAATGGGAAATAGAAATGGTCTTCACTCAAACAATGATGAACGAGGTAGTTCTAGTCCGTTTCTAACTATGAATTTTTCTCACTTAAAGGTTACAGTTCATCCCACTCATTTGCAGGCAGCTGGCTGAAATTGAGGGGTGACCATCGCCACTCGTTAGGTCACACCTATCATTAGCTCAATTCATTAGGTTTCGAATCCTGCGTTGAACAGATATCGCTCAGATTACTTTGACTAACTTTTATAACCTAGGGGTGAAATCATTCTCTGCGACGCTCTTAACTTCACTTTTTGAGCACAGCGATCAATATACGGTAATTGCTTCTAGCGTGCTGATTTTGTAAATTCTTGAGGATATCATCAAGGAGGATTCATGTATTGAGAAGTCACTGCTTGCATTTTTTCTTCATTATTTAAGAGTGATAAACGATCACTTGGACCTGCTTTACTGCCACTCGTAGGGTCACACCTCTCATTAGCTCAATTCATTAGGTTTCGAATCCTGCGTTGAACAGATATCGCTCAGATTACTTTGACTAACTTTTATAACCTAGGGGTGAAATCATTCTCTGCGACGCTCTTAACTTCACTTTTTGAGCACAGCGATCAATATACGGTAATTGCTTCTAGCGTGCTGATTTTGTAAATTCTTGAGGATATCATCAAGGAGGATTCATGTATTGAGAAGTCACTGCTTGCATTTTTTCTTCATTATTTAAGAGTGATAAACGATCACTTGGACCTGCTTTACTGCATTAACTCCGAGGCAGCACATTATCAATTAGCCTTAATCGTGTCTACAGAAAGAGACCAGTGATAAAATGACCTCCTCATAAGAAGAGGAAAGTTAACAAGCGAAGGATCCATTGGTTCATGAATGAGCTGATCACATGCAAAGCTAGTTCGATGAACGATGAAATAGTCAATACTGTACAGTACCCAAAAACTGAAAAGAAACGGGATAGTTATTCAATTGATGGTCACAATCACCGGGATAATCAAGGTTCTCGATACCTTAAGATGACCTTGGTTCCTGATACTATTGGTACTATAAGATTCTTGTTACAGAGAATGAACTGCTTAATTCTCTACGGCTTGTGTCAAATTGTTTGAAATAGAAGGGCTGCAGCATGCCTGGTCACCACCGGTACACGAAGGATTTTGGTTACCCTACTCAGAGACAAACTAATTAACACATTACGGGTTTCAGCAAGATAGTTGTAATGAAAAATCTGCTTCATTAGTGTTCCGGTCAAAAAAAAACTTCCGATGTCTGAAGATGAATTTTTTGTTGGTCTGTCTCGACCAGTGGCATTCAGGGTGGGCCAAAATTATGATTGCACAGACATCACATCTCCAAAAACGAATAGAAAGCTAATAATACAAACAAATTCCAAAGCAGTGCTTATCACTAATTTCTTATCAAATAGTACATTGAAACTGGGATTTGTTGCTTTCTGCTTTCACCCAACCTCAGAAACGACGACGGACGGCATTGGCGGTTGTATGCAGCTAAGGTCATTGAGTTGATCCTGGTTTTTGGGAGGCATTTTCTAGATTATTTCTCTTCTTGTTCGGGCTAACGGATGGTTTCATCTCAAAGGCTGACCACACTGAGACAGACTGAGACATCCGTGGGATTCATGTCAAGGCTCCCAAGTGGTCACTGATCGAAGTAATTAAACCGCTTTCACGAAATTTCTGAACAATCTCTGATCTACGGACAAGGCTTCATTTTGACGATATGTCCTATTCGAATCGCCAACGTGCCCTGTTGTGCACGAAGAGATCGAACGGGCCTCCAAATCAACTTCCGCTACTTAATTTACAAACATAATCGGTGTTTTTGCCTCGGCGGTTACGCTCGCAAAGGTCATCGCAGAAAGTCAGTAGCCTAACGCTGCATCATTTCCATCTCTTTCAGCTTCATACAAATCTTGCCGCTATGCTTATTGAGCACCTTGTTCACTGTGAATATCTTTTTGTCGGTGAACAGGAATTCCGTACGACAATTTTTTCTGATGCGGCGAGACAGCTCTTGTGAGCCGACCTTTCTCTTTTCTTTAGCCTGCTCACTGATGAAATCACTCTCTATTCGGATAAAAGCCTTCGTGCAGACGATGTTTCACAATTTCACGCAGAAGACTTCATGAGATATCCATTCCTTTAGAAGTTTTAGGCTCAGAATGAACTCGCTGCTACGGAAACCCGCCCTGCTTCCTTAACACTCCTCCTAAATATAACCGCAGAACTCTTAAGCGTACCACTCCTATCTGCAATTGTTTCCAACTCTCGAAAGCGTCTTATGTTCGAACGCACCACCTGCCTTTTCATGCTAAGTCGTCTGTAGATGAATCTGATGCTTGTAAATGCTGATTGGTTCACGGGGTAATGACGCTTACATCCCTTACTATATATAAACCACAAATGTCCGTTTTTCTGTATGTTTGTATGTCTGTTTCACTGTAAGATAAGATATACGGCAATGTTTGGAAATCAAATGGAACAGCTCAGACAGGTTGGAACAAGTGGGGATTGGGGATGAACAAGTGGGAATGAGCCGAACTCCTTGGGTACACGTGATCTAAGCTAGGTTTCGCCTACTAGGGTCGGGGCTTGCGCGAATAGTGTAGTTCACCGGAAATCTGTAACTCCCTTGCTCCTGAGCCTAAAGTATTCAAATTTGGCAGAAATGTAGGTGGCAAGATGGGAAAACTAATGGCAGGTGATAGGTGTAAACTCCGCCCACTAGGGGCGGGGCTTCCTCAGAAACAGTCAAATTGGACCTGGGTCGTTCAAATTTGGCAGAGATGTAGGTGGCAAAGCAGGAAAACTA